GTGATCCTCAAGGATCTGACGGAAAACCCCGAGCCGACGTGGCGCGCAATGGAGAAGCTCTACGAGGAGGGCAAGGCACGCTCCATTGGAGTGTCCAACTGGACCATCAAGGGCTTGGAACAGCTGCTCTCGTTCGCCAAGATCAAGCCACATGTCAACCAGATTGAGATCCACCCCTTCCTCCCCAACCATGAGCTGGTCGACTACCTGTTCAAGCACGACATCCTGCCCCAGGCCTACTCGCCGCTGGGGTCCCAGAACCAGGTGCCCACGACCGGCGAGAAGGTCAGCGAAAACAAGACGCTCAACGAGATCGCCCTGCGTCGCGGTTTCACCCTGGCCCAGGTGCTGATCGCCTGGGGGCTGCGTCGCGGCTACGCTGTGCTGCCCAAGAGCTCCAACCCGGCGCGGATCGAGTCCAACTTCAAGATTGTCGATTTGTCCGACGAGGACTTTGAGGCGGTCAACAAGGTGGCCGAGGGGCGCCACTTCCGCTTCGTCAACATGAAGGACACGTTTGGCTATGATGTGTGGCCGGAGGAGGCCAAGGCGGCCATCTCGATGTAACGATTTGACGGGATACTACCGATTGGCTCTGCTGGTTGGAGTATCGGTAGGCATTACTAGAGGACGACGTCTGGAATCAGTGATATTTTACCACCAGCGATTAATAGAGCATAGTTAGGAATGCAGCCAGAAGATCTCTCCCCCAGCAGTACTAGCCATTATTCCAATTCGAACAGTAATACATGTAATTCATGTAGTTACGTCTTGCCAATGAATGAATGAATGTCTTCTCCTAAGTAAATAAGGAGAAAGAGGACGCTGATCCCTCGGAGCACTCTCCTCCGCGTAGTCGGACTCAGTTGCAGGCGCAGTTGCAATTGCAATCCCTAATTGCAGTCCCCAATTCCCAATTTCCAGTTCGTGCAGTTGCCGTTCCCTGGGTACTTCATTTCCAGGGAAAGCCACCCGCCGATCAATTCAACATTCAAATCACGCATTCCCCACTTGACCCATTCATTTTCTCCAGATCAGCAATCTCACTCTGGTTGCTTGCTTGCTGTGATTCGCTGCATGGTTGTTTCAGAGCGAGGTGGATTATTATGGGGTCATGTTAAATTAATTAATTAAACTAGATGGGACTGGATTGGGATTGAAATTGAATGGGAAGAATAAAAAAAAGGAAAACTTAGGAACAGGAAAGTAAAGCACAGTACAGTGTACTACTCCGTACGCAGTAACAAAGTAATTGTAGAAGTGCAGACATCACTCACTCACTCAGACCAAATTATTATTTATGGACCGAGTTATAACTTATCAGCTCGCTACCTAGGTAGGTACCAAATTGAATGGGCCAAGGAATATACAGTACACTGTGGTGGTTTGACTGTTTTGACTGTTTGACAACAGACGGAGGGCTTCCTCGTCACGTGTAGGGTTAACCCTATGTACTGTACTGTACTGTATTGTACATAACCCTAACCCTAGGAACTGTTCAGTACAATCCAATCAATACCTACAGCAGATTCCTACATGGTTTACATACGTATTTATTTATTTATTCGGAATGATTACACAAAATGAATAAACGATAGACATAATATGAAGAGTGCCTGAATTTCTTTTTGACAATCTATGTAATGTTTGCAATTTTCAAGTTAACAAGAACTCGCAGAAATCAATCTGTGACATGTCGAATCCTGCCAGCAAATCTTCACACAACTGGTGATAGAAGATACTCATAGTAAGAGTTCTCCTCCTTCGTCGGCATCTCCGCCGTCTGGTCGAGTAGACTGTTGAGGTACTGCACCATCTCCACCGTCTGTGGTTCGTTCTCAGGCCGATGGCCAAACCCAACCCCCGGATACAGGTCAACGCCCATCCCGACGGCGGCAATGACAACCCGGTTCATGTCGTTCCAGACGTAGTTTGTGTCGCCCATCTTCTTTCCCTGTCGACCGGATGGGGGTCGTTGAGCCGGCCGCTCGAGCGGATACACCACATCCATCTCCTGCTGTCCTTCCCTGCTGCGGAGAGACATGAGAATGCCCAGGTGTGGGGAGCTTGTGAGAAGAAGCCCTGCAGCCGACTTGAGCGCTTCCTTAGCCTCGTTCCGAAGAGCGTTTGTCAGACTGTCATTGCGGCGGTTCTTCACCTGGATAATCAGGTATGTCATCTTCTGTTGCCCTCGGAGAGACACCGGAATGATGATATCGCATCCCTTATATCCTAGCGGTGGGAAGATCGCCGCGCCACGGTCATAGGCTCTCTTCAGAGTCTTTGCCGTTGGACTACTCTCCGAGAGCCTCACGAAATGGTTGAAGAAGACATACCCGTTTTCCCACAGGGATTGCATTTCTCTCTTATCGGTCATGCACCTTTCGATCATTCCCAGTTTGCTGCTTGGAAACAAGATCGAGATGAAGGTAGAAAGCTTGACAGGTGCTGGCCACCTCCCATTGACAGTATGATGCACTTTGTCGAAGGTAAACAGCAACACCAGTGCTGCCACTGCTTCTCCAATGTCTCCCAGGTGAATGAAACCTTTTGTCGTGTTTTTATAAAGCGCTTTGACTGCCCTCACACGACTATCACGATCATGTAGCGTTTTATCAGCAGACAAGAAAGCAATGATGGGCTCTGATGGCTGCGTGGTACGCAGCAATGTGCGCTCAACATTGATGTCAACGATGCATCTGAGATAACCCGAGGTAAGTTTCTCTGCAAGGCTGAACAGCGCAACATCGAAATTCATCCGGTATGAGATCAGCGCGAGTGCTTCGGTCTCATCACCGTTGTCCGTTACGACCAATAAGTTTTCTGCCACTACGGATTTTGGCGTCGGCCAGCTTTGCGACCGTATACACACTGTGTTTTTCCAGCACAGCACCCCACAGGGGTCGCCCAAAGGAAAAAAGGTGTCTGAGAGCATTACTCTCACCCGGGCCCCTATCAGTTGATCCGGATGGTACTGGCTATCTGCAGCGTCATCAACAAAGACGTTCATCGAATCGATCTGATAGATAGGTGGAAACACATGCCGGTCGCTTACAGCCTTCAGGCTTGGGTCGAAAGTATCCTGTGGAGAAGGGTCGGAAATTCGTGTCACGGTGTCAAGCAGGAGACCAAAGAATCGCTTTCTATCGACATCACAGCGTTTCTTAATATCCTTCGAGAATCCGAGACACGTCTGGTTCCTCATGGCCCTTCGCAGGGCACAGAATCTCATATCACGAGCATAACTCCAATCGGAGATAAGCTCCTGGGCCTCGTCAAAACAAATGAGGACGGAAGGCTCGTTATATCCGTTGTTCATCTCGATTCTGCTTTCAGAGATGTAATGAGCGTATTTTTCGGATGAGCGAAGCTGTTCCCGGGCTTGCCGGAAGAGATATCTGACATCGCTTTTATACTCCTCAAGGAATTCATCAATGTATCCCTGGTAGTCAAAAGGCTTCCAGTCTTGGTCGGACCGCTCCCGTCGACCTCCTTTGCCCTGCTTGATGGAGTATTCGCCGTTGACCTTGTTATAGAAACCCATCACATGTTTTGAGAGAGTAGTTTGAAATTCCGCAAAGAGCTCGTCGACCTGTAGGTCAAAGAAAGCTGCCGCGGTAATTCCAAAGTCCTTGCAAAGCTCGACGTGGACCAAACTTGCCACTATATAGCATTCGAAGAACATTATCATAGCGGGTCTGTCATGGATGAAACCGATCAAGTCGGCGATGGCTGAGCGCCCTGGATAGCAGCAAGCTGCCGGAATTCCCAGACTGGCATAAACAATGTAGATACGATTCTGGTATGCCATCTGCTTTACCAAGAAGCTCTTGCCGATGCCACTTGGTCCAATGAGCGACGTGTATGGAGAGAAGTAACCGCCCGAGTTATAGTCGTTGAGGAATTTCACTATCTGGTCGTGGACCATTTTTGCGACGTCTCGTCCTCTGTCCTCCTGGTGGAAGGCATCTTTCATAGCCTGCAGCTGAGCTTCCCGCGCAACTTCACTTGGTGACAGAGAAGACGTGTCTGGAAGCACGCGGTGGAGACGATGGTATTGCTCGATCTCATCCAGATAAGGGTTCATACTTATGTTTAGAAAGTCCGGATAGATCGAGACGACGTCATCCTCGTTGTCTTTTGTGGAAGGGATTTGGATATGCCGCACTCCAGATAAATTTTTGAACAGCTCCCAGATAGTTATCCGCTTGACGCTTTATCCAGGCACTGAAATCCTCGTCAGAGCGCGAAGTCATCGGAAAATAGGCCATGAAATGTCTCGTCATCTGGGAATCGAATCGAGCGAGCTCTGCAAACTCATTCGGACCCTGACACTTCCTCCATCTCAACTTGATTTCGCTTCGTATTAGGTCTGAAGCCAGATCGACTATCGTTTTGTCGCCAACCTCAGGATTCCCCATCGAATCTCTTGGCTCTGATATGCACTGTCAGTGCGTAAAGAATAAAAAAAAAGACAATGATCTTGTTGACAAGTATCAGAGTCTGCTAGAAAAGGATGACCAGGGTGGAGATCTGCAAAGCGAAGTGAAGACGCCCGAATGAGACAAGAAGACAAAATGACACCGTCAGTGATTCAAATTAATCAGAGTTTTCCGAGTCAACAGGCCGATGTTTCTGCCCGCCTAGGCGGTAGTATGATGAAGCCTAGAAGGCCTGACCTTGGGCCAGATTGCCTTTTAAGGAAATAAAGCTATACTATAAAGCTATACTACCTACTAGGACTCTCTCTACTTCTCGAAGCCAGAATTCTCACATATCCCTTACTAATGTATAGTACGTGAAGTTAACGCGATAGAGGCGATATAAGTATACGTATCTTACTGGCTGACATTATTATCTTTGCTGAAGGACCTCCCCCCCCCC